ATAACTAGACACCTACTGTAATGCTGGTCCTCTAATATCGTATTTGTTCAAAATTTCAAGCAGAATGGTGTGGTCAATGGTGTCAAACGTTTTCTTCAAATCAACATAAATACTAGCACAGTATGGTTTATGATCAACAGTAGTTGCTATTTGCTCTAATAAGTCCATGAGTGCTGTTGATGTGGAATTGTTAGCTCGAAACCCATACTGACTGCTACTCAGAATGCTATGTTTGTCGATAAATTTATCCAGTCTAAGCACAAATAATTTCTCTAAAATCTTTGAAAACTGTGGTAACAAGGATATTGGTCTGTAATTATTGAACAAACATTTCTCACCATTATTAAAGAGATGAATTACTTTGGCTGTTTTCATATTATCTGGAAATATGCCAGATGAAAAAATGATAAATTACATATTCTGTATATGTAAATGGCTGAATAACATAATTGATTATTTCCTTTACAAACATGTCCATGTCCGCAGAATCTTTTGATCTTTTGACTGCAAGATTTTTTACAATATTCATTATTTCTTCTTTGCCAGTTCCATCAAGAAAAATACTGTTTGTACAACCCATGACTGTATGACTCACATTATTATCTACTTTTGGTATTTTAGCTGCAAGACTTGGGCCAACATTCATAAAATAATTGTTAAATCCATTTACTATTTCATTCTGATCATAAGTTTCATTTCCATCTTTTACAAAATATTGTGAAGCTTGCTTTGGCTCGACGCTGTTCATTACTCGCCATGTTTCTTTAATGTCACCCTTACTTTTGTTTAATAAATCACTGTAATATTCTTTCTTATGTTTTCTTATAATCCATACTAACTTGTTTTTAAAGTTTTAGTGCAACTTTAAGTGTAGGAAAAAAGTTAAAATTGTATTTTTTTATTACACCACTTTGCTCTACAGTCATACTAGTAATTGAATAGTTTTACTTGCATCTGTTCTGAATAGTAAGGAAAAATAAAGAGGCAAGACATTGAAAAAAACTCCTCAAATTAAAAGCTAAATATCAACTACAGAACACAAGTTCAGCAGTTTGAAACTGCTGACCACCGGTTTGGCTTTTTTTTTTTTTTAATACACGTTGAATGTAACAGAATTATTTGTCCGTTAGGTGGCAGTGTGTGCATTTCAACAGTGTGGTTTGAGATTTTCTTTCTTTTTTTATTATTTCACATTCAGTCATTACACAACAGCTTAGCATAGTTGGTATTAGAAAACATGTTAAAGTGGGAAACATGCGTTATGGAGTGCTCCAGTGATTAAACAGAATGAGAAAATATAGTTCAGCAAATGCAAACAAACAAAACAAACAAACA